GGGGGGGGGGGGGTTATCACAACTGGAGCAGACTGAATCTGGAGCAGTTGTCACGGCAACCAGTCAGCTTCTCTCACCAGTTTGTTCAGTTATACTTTGAATATGAAGGAGAGAAGCTGATTGGTTGCCATGACAACTGCTTCAGATTGTGTCTGCTCCAGCTGTGAGAAAGTCCCGTCAGCGTGTGTTAAAGTGCATGTTACCCCATCACCCTCTCTCCGCCATCTTTGATCCGGTGATTGTATCAGAACAGAACGATCCACCACAGAGGAGAAAACATTCCACGGCAACCACATAGCAACCAGGATCACATGACCGTCCAAGAGGAGGAGACCGCGGCAACGAGTTCCAGAGACCTGACAATGCCTCAAATATCCCCACAATGAGGAACTACAAGTCCCACAATACAGGACAACCAGCCAGCCCAATAGGTGAGGGGAAGGTAACCTCGGCCCTCCAGCTATGGTGAAACTACAACTCCCATAATCCCTCTTAATGTAGCAGCGATCATAGTGGTGCCGTCAGTGCAGTAGCGGAGTGCACCCATCATAGTGGTGCCGTCAGTGCAGTAGCGGAGTGCACCCATCATAGTGGTGCCGTCAGTGCAGTAGCGGAGTGCACCCATCATAGTGGTGCCGTCAGTGCAGTAGCGGAGTGCACCCATCATAGTGGTGCCGTCAGTGCAGTAGCGGAGTACACCCATCATAGTGGTGCCGTCAGTGCAGTAGCGGAGTACACCCATCATAGTGGTGCCGTCAGTGCAGTAGCGGAGTACACCCATCATAGTGGTGCCGTCAGTGCAGTTGCGGAGTGCACCCATCATAGTGGTGCCGTCAGTGCAGTAGCGGAGTACACCCATCATAGTGGTGCCGTCAGTGCAGTAGCGAAGTACAGTGATCATAGTGGTGCCGTCAGTGCAGTAGCGGAGTACACCCATCATAGTGGTGCCGTCAGTGCAGTAGCGAAGTACAGTGATCATAGTGGTGCCGTCAGTGCAGTAGCGGAGTACAGAAATCAAAGTGGTGCCGTCAGTGCAGTAGCGGAGTACAGCGCTCTCAGTGTAGTATAGTGCTCTCAGTGCAGTAGCGGAGTACGGCGCTCTCAGTGTAGTATAGTGCTGTATAGTGCTCTCAGTGCAGTAGCGGAGTACGGAGCTCTCAGTGTAGTATAGTGCTGTATGGCGCTCTCAGTGCAGTAGCGGAGTACAGCGCTCTCAGTGCAGTAGCGGAGTACAGCGCTCTCAGTGCAGTAGCGGAGTACGGCCCCCCTCAGCCAGCGCCGTGCGGTCCCGGCTCACCTTGTCCCAGTGCAGCCAGCGGCACACGGCGTTGTCCAGCTCGGAGTCCCCGGTCCCGGTGGGGATCAGCAGGTTGGAGTTGACGTCACCCCCCGGATCCCCCATCCTCTCACCCGCTACACCAGCCGCCTCAGCCCGGACTGCGCCACAGGCTGGAATAACACTGCGCAGGCGCCGAGCCGGCTCCTCGCTACACACACTGCGCATGCGTCGAGTGTCCAGCGTCTGAGCTGTACTGCGCATGTGCGAGACTGGATAGGCTAGGCACCCACTGGGTGAAGGGGGGTGCTACAGTGACCCCCGCATGAGGCTTTTAGGTAAACTGCAAGCCAGTGACCCCAATAAATCACCAGCACCCTTGGTCATGTACTTAAAGGGGGACTCTGCTGAGTGTGATCATTCACCTTACATCTCCACATCCATTAGAGTGAATCCACAATAGACAGGTTTTCATTGCTGTCTATTGTGTCCCCATGGGGGAGATCCATCCCTCTATTTGTCCCGGTGACAACTGTCCCTGGTAAAGAAAAATGATGAGAACTTCGCAATTTAGGAGTTGTCACCGGAACAGGAGGTGAGGAGAACAGGAGGTGAGGATTAAACCTTCCAATGGGGACACCTGGCTTTGGAGAGATTTCCTCTCACTTCCTGTTATGTGTCCAGGGCAGGATATGAAGGGTAATTTCCCCAAGGGGACACAGATTGCAAAAAAAAAAAAACTGATCGGGTTCTAACTGTTCAAATCCACCACCAGTATACAACCACCACCAGTATACAGCCACCACCAGTATACAGCCACCACCAGTATACAACCAGCCACCACCAGTATACAACCACCACCAGTATACAGCCACCACCACCAGTATACAGCCACCACCAGTATACAGCCACCACCAGTATACAACCACCACCACCAGTATACAACCAGCCACCAGTATACAGCCACCGGGAAGGACAGAGGTCAGATAGAAGACTGAAGGGAAGGACGGAGGTCAGATAGAAGACTGAAGGGGAGGACGGAGGTCAGATAGAAGACTGAAGGGAAGGACGGAGGTCAGATAGAAGACTGAAGGGGGGGACGGAGGTCAGAGACCTAATGAGGGACAATTGTAAAGGGAAGGACAGAGGAAGAGACGTGAGCTGTGTGCACACTTCTGTCATCTAAGAATATTATTCACTCCCCGTTCCCTCTGGCGGCTCTCTGTAGAGATTTGCTGTAGGAGATCCCGGGTAATCTCAGCGGATTAATATAAAGGAGATGAAAGGAGAGCGGCGTTCCTGAACCCGAGGCGTCTAGACGGGTGAATCCCGGGCGTGGTGATACGGAGAATAAACTGCCTTCAATCCGGCTGTACAATCTCCACACAACGTTCACATGAAATGTCTCACCAGAACATTCCATGACCATCTTCTTCCACAGGTGTAGTCCTGCCACCATAACCATCTTCTTCCACAGGTGTAGTCCTGCCACCATGACCATCTTCTTCCACAGATGTAGTCCTGCCACTATGACCATCTTCTTCCCCCGCTGTAGACCTGCCACCATGACCATCTTCTACCACTCCTGTAGACATGCCACCATGACCATCTTCTTCCACTCCTGTAGACCTGCCACCATGACCATCTTCTTCCACTGCTATCGACCTGCTAGCATGACCATCTTCTACCACTGCTGTCGACCTGCTAGCATGACCATCTTCTTCCACAGCTGTAGATCTGCCGCCATGACCATCTTCTTCCACCGCTGTAGACCTGCCACCATGACTATATTCTTCCACCGCTGTAGACCTGCCACCATGACCATCTTCTTTCACTCTTGTAGACCTGCCTCCATCACCATCTTCTTTCACTCTTGTAGACCTGCCTCCATGACCATCTTCCTCCACCACTGTAGACCTGCCTCCATGACCATCTTCTTCCACCGCTGTAGACCTGCCACCATGAGCATCTTCTTCCACCACTGTAGACCTGTCACCAGGACCATGTTCTTTCACCACTGTAGACCTGTCGCCATGACCATCTTCTTCCACCGCTGTAGACCTGCCACCATGACCATCTTATACCAACACTGTAGACCTGCCTCCGTGACCATCTTCTTCCACCGCTGTAGACCTGCCACCATGACCATCTTCTTCCACCGCTGTAGACCTGTCACCAGGACCATGTTCTTCCACCACTGTAGACCTGTCGCCATGACCATCTTCTTCCATAGCTGTAGACCTGCCACCATGACAATCTCCTACCACTCCTGTAGACCTGCCAGCATCACCATCTGGATCTGCCTCCACAGCTCTAGCCCAATGCTTCCCTACTGTCAAGGTGCCACATCAAATGTTTACACAGTTGCTCCTCAGCTGCCAAATTTGTGCAATTGTGTCTAGAGGGTCAATCCTGCATGGCGCCTTCATGTTGGTGGTCCATTATGCTGCTCCGGCACTGTCAGGGTGACACACCTCATGTTTCTGCAGTTGCTCCTCAGCTGCCAAATTTGTCTAATTGTTTCTGCTGGATGAACGTTGCGTTCCGCCTCAATGTTCTCAGAGTACTGTGCTGCTCGGGGACTGCCAAGGTTCCGCACGTCATGTTTCAGCAGCTGCTCCTCAGTTGTTTGCTGCCTGCTAAATCCTTCTCTTTGCCTGTTTTTTTCAGCCTACTCCAACGCTCTGCCAATAAAGAACATTGAACATATTATGTTATATTATGTTGGCCAAGAAAGTCACCGTCTGGATTTCGGGCATTAACTATAAACGCAGAGCCAGACAGTTAAATGTACCATCTTCTTCCACAGGTGTAGTCCTGCCACCATAACCATCTTCTTCCACAGGTGTAGTCCTGCCACCATAACCATCTTCTTCCACAGGTGTAGTCCTGCCACCATGACCATCTTCTTCCACAGGTGTAGTCCTGCCACCATAACCATCTTCTTCCACAGGTGTAGTCCTGCCACCATGACCATCTTCTTCCACAGATGTAGTCCTGCCACTATGACCATCTTCTTCCCCCGCTGTAGACCTGCCACCATGACCATCTTCTACCACTCCTGTAGACATGCCACCATGACCATCTTCTTCCACTCCTGTAGACCTGCCACCATGACCATCTTCTTCCACTGCTATCGACCTGCTAGCATGACCATCTTCTACCACTGCTGTCGACCTGCTAGCATGACCATCTTCTTCCACAGCTGTAGATCTGCCGCCATGACCATCTTCTTCCACCGCTGTAGACCTGCCACCATGACTATATTCTTCCACCGCTGTAGACCTGCCACCATGACCATCTTCTTTCACTCTTGTAGACCTGCCTCCATCACCATCTTCTTTCACTCTTGTAGACCTGCCTCCATGACCATCTTCCTCCACCACTGTAGACCTGCCTCCATGACCATCTTCTTCCACCGCTGTAGACCTGCCACCATGAGCATCTTCTTCCTCCACTGTAGACCTGTCACCAGGACCATGTTCTTTCACCACTGTAGACCTGTCGCCATGACCATCTTCTTCCACCGCTGTAGACCTGCCACCATGACCATCTTCTGCCAACACTGTAGACCTGCCTCCGTGACCATCTTCTTCCACCGCTGTAGACCTGCCACCATGACCATCTTCTTCCACCGCTGTAGACCTGTCACCAGGACCATGTTCTTCCACCACTGTAGACCTGTCGCCATGACCATCTTCTTCCATAGCTGTAGACCTGCCACCATGACAATCTCCTACCACTCCTGTAGACCTGCCAGCATCACCATCTGGATCTGCCTCCACAGCTCTAGCCCAATGCTTCCCTACTGTCAAGGTGCCACATCAAATGTTTACACAGTTGCTCCTCAGCTGCCAAATTTGTGCAATTGTGTCTAGAGGGTCAATCCTGCATGGCGCCTTCATGTTGGTGGTCCATTATGCTGCTCCGGCACTGTCAGGGTGACACACCTCATGTTTCTGCAGTTGCTCCTCAGCTGCCAAATTTGTCTAATTGTTTCTGCTGGATGAACGTTGCGTTCCGCCTCAATGTTCTCAGAGTACTGTGCTGCTCGGGGACTGCCAAGGTTCCGCACGTCATGTTTCAGCAGCTGCTCCTCAGTTGTTTGCTGCCTGCTAAATCCTTCTCTTTGCCTGTTTTTTTCAGCCTACTCCAACGCTCTGCCAATAAAGAACATTGAACATATTATGTTATATTATGTTGGCCAAGAAAGTCACCGTCTGGATTTCGGGCATTAACTATAAACGCAGAGCCAGACAGTTAAATGTGTTTCGGCAATGACGGTATGAAGCACCCTAGACATGAATGGGTTATTTCATGGCATTGGTTCATGTCATTAGTTCATCCAGTTGTATGGGGAGTAAAATTATGGGTGGGGTGGTGATGGGTGGGGCAGTATTGGGTGGAACGGTATTTGGTGGGGCTGTATCGGGTGGGACGGTATCGGGTGGGACGGGTGAAACAGTATCGGTTGGGACAGATGTGATGGTATCGGGTGTGACGGTATCAGGTGGGACTGTATCGTGTGGTACGGGTGGGACGATATCAGGTGAGACAGGTGGGATGGTATCGGGTGTGACGGTATCAGGTGGGACTGTATCGGGTGGGACGGGTGGCACGGTATCTGGTGGGAAGGTATTGGGTGGGAAGGTATCAGGTGGGACGGTATCGGGTGGGACTGAATGGGGTAGGACAGGTGGGACTGAATTGGGTGGGACGGTATTGAGTGGGACGGGTGAAATGGTATTGGTTGGGATGGGTGGGACGGTATCAGGTGGGACTGTATCGGTGGGACGTATCGGGTGGGACGGTATTTGGTGGGACTGGTGGGATGGTATCAGGTGGGACAATATCGGGTGGAATGGGTGCGACGGTATCACGTGGGACGGTATCTTTACGGTATTGGGTGGGATAGGTGGGACGGTATCGGGTGGAACGTTGATGGGTGGAACAGGTGGGACGCTATTGGGTGGGATGAGTTGGATGCTATCGAATGAGACGGGTGGGACAGTTTTGGGGAGGGACAGGTGGGATAGAATCGGGTGGAACGGTATTGCATGGGATGGTATTGGGTGGGACAGTATCAGGTGGCATTGTATTGGGTGGGATGGTATCGGGTGGGATGGAATCGGGTGGAACGGTGATGGGTGGAACAGGTGGGACGGTGTCCGGTGGGACGGAATCGGGTGGAACAGTGATGGG